TGTAATCTTACCATATTCCTCCTTTGGTACAATTATCATCTGACACAATTGGGTCATCCTCAGTTTTGGTTGCATGGCCTACTCTGAATTCTAACCCTCCTGTCCTCCTAGTTGGCTGTCTGACTCTTTTGTTCATTTTGAGGTCATCATCATCTCATTAATGTGTGAATGTAGTTTCACCATGACAGTCCATGTTGATTTGCTATGTCTATCTTCAGCTTCTATATAGTAGCTTTGGTGGCTTTGGGCTTATTATACATTCTTCTACTTTATTTCAGTATAATTATAATGTGTTCTTCCTCATGAATCACAATATATAACTTTAAAAAAATATTGTTTGGAGTACAGACCAAAATCTTTATGTCTATTATTCATTAGTCTTACTAGTTTTTTATTATGTGTATGTTTCTGTAGGAAATGCAGCCCTATGAGGAAAACGCTTACCCATAATTCTGCTTTTATCTTTAGCTTTCCAGGTAGTGTAGACACATTTCTTATGTGTGTGGTTGTTATTTTCTCATCTACAAAATGGAGGGGTTGATCACAGATTCGTACTGATCTGAATATGAATTTTGTGGAAATTAACAAAATTTCTTCATATTTTTTGCTCAGTGGTGAAGTAGGAAAAGGTGTATAAGTGTCTTATATGTGTTTTGGTATGTAGCACTGTGGTTTGGTTTTGCTTGCTTTCATTTACAATCTCCAACATTTGTTTTACATGACTTAGATTTTTTCTCCTATGCCTGGAGAGTCCTGTGAGAATGCCAACACTTCCTTGGGCAGAAGAATGTCAGTTAATTGTGAGAAGTTGGTGAAGAGGGAAAAGCCAAGGGAATTAATTTTTCCATCTAATTACGACCTCCTTCGCCACTTACAGTATGCAACACATTTTCCTATACCTCTGGTAAGTCATTGCTTCAGTTAATCTACACCCTGATTATTTTATTATAAGATCAATAACTGTTGAATGTCAGATTATTCAAGTATTTTCTTGACTAATACATAATGATAGCAGGTGAGTTTTTTGCATTTGCTCCTGCCTCTGTTCTAATTCTGATCTTAAGCTTATGTACTGATGTTGTCCAAATTTATAGTGATATTAGTGGCTAATTAGATTTAGAAAATGAAATTTTCTATATTAGTATCCTTTTATTAAAGAGCATTTGAGTCACTGGAGGTGATGTCTGAATGTGTTTTTTTTTTCTTTCCTTTTTTTTTTGGGACGGAGTTCTGCTTCTGTTGCCCAGGCTGGAGTACAGTGATACGATCTTGGCTCACCACAATCTCTGCCTCCCAGGTTCAAGTGATTCTCCTGCCTCAGCCTCCCTAGTAGCTGGAATTACAGGCACCCACCACCATGCCTGGCTAATGTTTTGTATTTTTAGTAGAGACAGGGTTTCACCATTTTGGGCAGGCTGGTCTCAAACTCCTGACCTCAGGTGATCCGCCCGCCTCGGCCTCTCAGAGTGCTGGGATTACGGATGTGAGCCACTGTGCCAGGACTAAATGTGTTTTAATTTGAAAGAAAATTTACTGAGTAACTTTTATGTACACTGTATTATGGTAGGTACTTCTAGTCAGTAAGAATTGTGAGGCATAGGATAAATGGGAGACAAACAACTATAAATGGCAAGCTCTCAAATATGTGCAATAATTGAGTAAAAACTCAAATTCTCACTGGAAGGTGAGCCAGTTGATATTTCTGGGCACCTTCCACTCTCAAAGAATGAGTATTGGAGAGAACTAGAGCATTTTAGTTGAAAAATTGGGTAAGACTTCATAGAGGCTTGTACAAGATAGGCTCGGATTTGGACTGGTTTGAATTTAAGAATTGTATAGCAAATGGGAAATGCTTGGCAGGAAGTTTACCGTTTGAGTCTTAGCAAAGTGATGTGCTTTATTCTAAAGGGTAACAAAATTGGTTTCTTAATATTAGAAATAAAAATTGGGTCAAAATTTGAAAAAAGTTTATTCTTGGGTTCACTAACTTTTTTTCTGGATTTTTATTTTAAGTGCAATTTCAGTGAGTCATTTTTTTTCATTGAGTGTTACTTTTACATATAAAAAGCATAATTGGGTCAGGAGCGCGGCTCACGCCTATAATCCCAGCACTTTGGGAGGCCAAGGTGGGCAGATTATGAGGTCAGGAGATCGAGACCATTCTGGCTAACATGGTGAAACCCTGTATCTGCTAAAAATACAAAACATTAGCCAGGCGTGGTGGTGGGTGCCTGTAGTCCCAGCTACTCAGGAGGCTGAGGCAGGAGAATGGCGTGAACCCAGGAGGCGGACCTTGCAGTGAGCCAAGATCACCCCTGCACTCCAATCTGGGCAACAGATCGAGACTCTGTCTCAAAACAAACAAACAAAAGTAAATGTAGGTGTATTATGTTATTTCCTGGGTATCTTCTAGGAGTTTTGATCTGCAAAACTAAGTATTCTGTTTGTTTATTTATTTATTTATTTTGGTATTTTGGAATATCTCCTGAAATGACTTTCAAAATTACGAAACGCATATATTTTTTTCTTATTACCGTTAAAAGTCTCTTTTTTTGTAATTTTTCTATGTCCAGGGCCATTTCAAAACTTGTCAAATTATCAAACCCATATGTTTTTCCTTATTACAATTAACAATCCGTGTTTTGTTAATTTTTCTATGTCCAGGGATGTCATTTATCACTGCCTGAATAATATCTATAATTTTCAACTGTTACCTATAGACATTATTCATTTACATTATAATGGAATAACCTCACAGTTTATTTAGGGGAGCAGAAAGGGTAGCCTTATATTTTAGAGATGTATCCTAAAGAATTTGTAGATGAACTATTATGTCTGGGATTTGTTTTTAAAATATTCAGGATAAAAAAGGGAGACGATATTAACATCCAGAGTTTATTTAATAGTAATATACCAATGTTAACTTCTTAGTGTCATCAAATGTACTGTGGTTTTCTTAAGTCATTTACATTAGAGGAAACTGGCTGAATGGGTATGGAACTCTGTGTACTATTTTGCAACTTCTCTGTAAATTGGAAATAAAAATTTATTTAAAAGAAAGAATAAAGGGGGGGATGATAAATTAAGCAAAGATGGCAAAATGTTGAAAAGGGTTGAAGCTGGTTGAATGGTTGAGGGCTATGTGTTCCTTTCTTGGGTAAACGGAGCTTTGCAGGTCTCTCTCCCAGGTGTCTGGGTGTCAGAGCAGGACCCTAAGCCTCAGCTTCTTTATTCTGTTGTTCCCGTGACCTTGGTTTTACAGCCTTTCCCTGCATTTAACATTCTGCTTCCTTGGAAGAAAGAACTTAAATGATTTTCAGTGACCATGTGTCATAATGAATCATGAGATAATTTAACTATAACAATTTGTGAAAGAACTGCTAGACAACTGATATTGTAGGATACATTTTTTAATAGCTTTCCACCACCGGTTGCCCTCAAAACTCCCTGTTACCATGAGTACAATTCAGAAGAAGCCAAAGGATATGCTAATATAACACTGACATTAGGAATGCTACTGTCTGTTATTTTTCCCTTAATGAAGAGAGAAAATCTGACTAGCTTCTCATGCGTGTGAGGAAACTATAAAAATGTAGTTAAGAAAAGTGTTTTCTATCTCCCCGTATCTCATATGGGGCCCTACTAAGTGAAGACCAAGGAGAAGAGGATTAAAGGGGGCTTGACCAAAGATTCAGAAAAATAAAGTAGTTTCATGATGCTATTCTGTGAATAATACTTGATCTGCCCGTTAGTGAACCATGTTTCCTAGACTACCAGCAAACACAGGTTCTAGTGGATAGGCATTCTATCAGCCTGCAGCTGAGGTAAGTCATTTACACTGTGTCACATGTGTGAGGCTGCTGGAGTTTCTGTCATTACCATTAGCTAGCTAGAATTGTATAGCATTATCTTGTTGTATGTTTTATAATAGGCACTTTATGTATTTTCTCATTTATTATTCACTTCAGAGTCAGAATATATTTATGGAATTGTAGATAGGATTTTCAAGCTTTAGAAAATAATTTGTGAAATGCAAAAATGAGTTTGGAATCAAACTCGTTTTCCTAGCTTCCAGGAACACGATTTTTTAATCATTGCAGCTAATGCAAATGGATTTACCAGCTGTTTTTATATGGGCTTATTCTACTAATGAAAGAAAAAAACACAAAGTCATCATGTATGGTTATCTAAATTTTTCCAATATTCTTTTTCCTAACACGTCTTTTATTTAATGCTGTGTATTCTTTCTGCATCACCAGCAGTGGAGAGAATTTGATCAGAGTTGTGACTCTGAGAGCTGGAGTCACCTTATACTTTATTGTTATTGATTGATTGATTGATTGATTGATTTTTGAGACAGTGTCTCACTCTTTTTGCCCAGGCTGGAGTGCAGCGGGGCAATCTTAGCTCAATGTAACCTCTGCCTCCGAGATTTAAGTGATTCTCCTGCCTCAGCCTCCCAAGTAGCTGGGATTACAGGCATGCACTATCACGCAAGGCTAAATTTTGTATTTTTAGTAGAGACGGGGTTTCACCATGTTGGCCAGGCTAATCTCTAACCCTTGACCTCAAGTGATCCGCCCGCTTCAGCCTCCCAAAGTGTGTGAGCCACCACGCCCGGCTGGAGTCACCTGTACTTTAAACTGGGGCCCAACATGGAGTCAGGCTCATCTTTCTGGACCTGGGCAGCGCTAAGTAGCTCAGCCCATGCTACATTCCTAACATGGCCTTGCTGTGTGGTCAGTGTATCTGTTTTATAAAGACCATCTGACTGGTGCTGTTTTACCATTGATGTGCTATCGATGTGATTTTCTAGTTCCAAAAACACTAGTTTCAGTAATTAGTATAACTTAACTCCCTCTGAAATATTCTAGGGTCTCTGTTTCGTATTATTCAAAATAGAAATGAGAAGTCACTAAATTTATTGTTACTGACATCAGGAAGCCTTTATTGTAACCTATAGATAGAATATAAGTACAAATAATGCACTAAAGATTGTCTATATTTTTCAAGACTTTTTAGAAATAAAAGTTTTTGATTGTGTTAGAAAAAAATTAGACATTAAACATTGAAGGAGTAATGAGCTGAAAGATTACCATCTTTTGAAGTGATGGATTAGAAATAAAATAGGCATAAGTAGTTTTATGTAAGCTGCATTTTTTAAAGTAATCTGAAAGGCTTTAAAATTATGTTGCTGGTGGGCTTTCTGGTAACTTACATGGAAATTATTTTTTATATTTTTATCAAGAAGTCAGTTCCAGGCATTTAAATGAATAACTCATGAATACCTTTGGGTCTATGTCATGGGCCTCTTTTGGATTTCAAGGATATTGCAGGATTTTACATTCGTTCAATGAGACTCTTTAGTTTTTTGTACAAATATTTGGGTTAATGAGTAGCAACAAGCCTAACAATAAAGCTTGACTTGCATTTAGAAACAGGATTTCTAAGTAAACCTGTCCATATTTGCTAGCTAATTGTATTTTTTCTTTCTTTTTTTTTTTTTTCCCCCCTCTTTCAAAGCTGTATTTAATTTTACGGTCCAGTAAGGCAGAATTGGTATCACAAAAAATGCTGTCTTTTATGCGTTATTTTCACATCTTAAGTTTTCTTTCTGAGCCTTAGTCTCTTTAGGTGAGGCAAAAGTCTCAGTGACCTTTGAGCGAAATGCTTTTGAGAGATGATAGTACAGGATAGGATCAAAGCACAGGTTCGACACAGCCAGGAGCAGTGTAGCCTCTTTGGCTTTGAAGAGTGAAATCCTGGTTGAGCAATCAGTTATGACTTCTGTCTGGCTGAGGGTGTATGGGATTCGGACAATGTGGTAAGGAACAAAGCATATGATGTAGCCCGTGGTCACTAAAAGTATGTTGATGAGAGCCTTTTTCACATTTGGATAATTTTCATTATCTTTGTTTCTGTAGAGCTGTCGAATTACAAGGCAATTGGATATTAAAATGATGGCTGAGAAATTTAAAAATATTGCTACACATATGAAATTTGTCAGCAAATGCCAATTTCTTCCAAATTCCTTTTTAAACTCCATACAACCCACATTTGACTTCTCCTTGATGTCTTTGATGGGAATCATCATATTTGGCACCATTATAAGAAGGACCATTAGCCACACAACCGTTGATATCATTTTGGCAAATCCAGGTTCTTGTATTCGGTAGATCTTGCAGCTGTGTGTCAACTGAAGACAGCGATCAATGCTGACAAATGCTAAGAAGATAATTGATAAGTACATATTGATATAGATGAGGCAGGCTGTTACTTGGCAGTGGAATATCTTCAGCTTCCAAGGTGCCACACCCAAGTCAACAACAATTTTCACCGGTAATGCCAGAGTAAGCAGGAAATCAGCTGTAAGCAAATTAATTAAGTAGATGCTCACACACCTGTGATTCGTATTCTTCTGTATAAAAGCCCAGGTTGCAAAACAACTTCCAATAATTCCAACAAGGAAAACTAAATAAAAAAAATATGTGAATGGCTCCAGATCTTTATAAACTGGGCAAAAGAACGAACTGTTTGTCATCTTGAGGGAAAGTAAGGATGACTTCTAAGACTCTGTAAAATAAACAAGGAAAGGGAGGTTAGTAATTAAAATTAGCAGCTATTTTCTTTAAAAGACATTTGTCTTCATAATACCATTGTATTTCTAGTTTTTAGAATTTTAGTGGTGAACTTGCCAGACCATGTGGCCTGGTGAGAACATACTAGATTGTGAAGATGCCTGGGTTTTCCATTGTCTGATTTTGTGACTTTCAGGAAATCCCATGCAGGTTTGCTTTTGGTAGGGATATTTTCAACCTCAGGTTTTTCCATTCCGGTAGTTCTTGTTACCAGTTGGGTTGGAAGTTAGTTTGCAGAGGAGATAAGTGAACTGAGATTCTGAGAAGTAGAGAGAGGAAACTAGGGTTGTGGTTGAGCCTGAAGAGGCTTTTTTTCTTGTTTTGTTTTTTGTTTTCCATAGATTCATGTAGCTCCTAAGGCTGGGAGAACACAAGCTGACTGGGGAAGTAAGGAGTTGATGGAAAATTGTCTCCAGCCTGGTCGTGAGACTCTGTCTCAAAAACAAAAAACAAAAAACAAAACACACACACACACACAAAACCACAGTTACCAGAACATGGATGTAAGCTTGTAAGTTCATTCATTACAAAATCTTTGGAGAAAGATTTATTTATATTAGTATCAAAACATGTGACTTCAACACTTGAGTTTTTTTTTTTTTTTTTTTTTTTTTTGGGTTTTTTGAAGCATTAAAAACCCCAAAAGCAAAAGATATACCCTTAGAACTACTGTGATCGCCACTGATAATGACAGTGAAGTCTTGTCATGTCCCTCCCAAATCTGGTACATTGAGTGGGTTTAGTTAAACTGATAGGGCTCCCTTTGACCTGGTCTATTCAAACTCACATGCTTAGAGCTAAGGGTACATTAGTAACCTTTCTGGTGCTGCCTGTTGGTGTGGGTCCCCCTTTTGCATATTAAACGATGTTCTTTTGTTTTAAAGACCTCAAGATTATTTTTGTATTTTAGCAAGAAAAAATTTTATGCTATAATACAACCTTTTTAAAAGTAGCAAATAGTAAGTTATAGTGACCAACATAGAAGGCCAGATCAGCTACTCTGTAAGCGCCCTTTAATAAGAGAATAAAACTTCTGACGTCTTTCTGAATTTTAATTTCCCCAATTAGTTAATGATCCTTTGTGTGCATTTGTAATGAAACAATGTATGCAAACAGATGAATAAGGCATATGTACACAAAGCTTTCTAAATTCAAGTGCTGCTTAAAGGCTACATGCCCTTTCTCTTTCCCTACCTGAGTTAGCATGTTAGAGTCCATGAATAATGTAATTCTTTACCAAACTCGATGAAAATAATTAAGCAGTTGGTTTGTGTCTGGCATTATGCCAAATACTTTACATGTACTTATTTAACTTCTTATCATTTCCATAAGCTAGGTGTTGTTATTGTCCCTGCTTTATAGATGAGGAAACTGAGGCATAATGGGGTTACTTACCCAAGGTTATGTAACTGGTAAGATACAAAGCCAGGATTCCAACTCAGTCAGTCTGATCTCAGAATCACATTCAAAACCACTCCAAAACACTGCCTCAATAACAATAGTAAGATGATGATAGTAATGATGATGATGATGATTATATCTGCCAGGCTTTACTAAGGGCTTACTGTGTGGGCAGGAGCTATGTTCTAAACAATTTTTATGTAATAAAGCTGAAATAAACTATTCATTTTTAACTTTTTACCAAAATACTAAGAAAACAAGTTTAGGCTTTTCATGTATTTTGATGTTTTATGCATACAGCCACGCACATGCACACCGTACACACACACACACACACATGCACACGCACATTTAAAAACAAAACCTAGGCCCTATCCAATAAGTTTAAACCAACTTTGCTCTCAAAGCTTCCATAACCTAGTTTCTCTCTACCATGTCTACTATCTCTTAATCCCAGATTAAGATTGGGATTGGTGGGGTCTCTACTGTTCTGTGTACAGTTCCTTCCTGCCTTTATACTTTTGCATGTGATAGAAATTTTGGAGTCATAGGATTTTAAGGATGGATAGAAACTTTACTGATAGCCTGTAGTCTAATTCCCAAGTCAGTTGAGGAGATTGAGGGCTGGCACTGGTGTGTTCCTCAAGCTTTCACAGCATGTTCAGGCAGGACTAGGATCTGCTCTTACTAGTGATCGTCTAAGCTCTCTGTCCTTACTTACTATTCCTGAATCCTGCTTATTCCAGAGCCTTCAGGAAGCTTCTCACATCTGAAAGCTACTCCAGGCTTTACTGATGTCCTTGGTGACCATGAATTTTGATAGTTACCATTTATTTGCACCTTGGAATTTTGAACATACTTTTCTTCTTTATGTGAAAAATTAGTATTTGTGTGCATTGATATTGTGTCACATCTTGGCTTATTGTTACTTTCTAAGGCCCTAGGATTTTGGCTTATGCACTTTTATTTCAAATATTACATAATAGTAACATAATGTGTTTCTTTAAGTGCTCCATTGCTTACACAACTATAAAATAAGATTATTGTGTCAATGAGACTTATATGGTAAAGAGAAGAATTAGAGTAATTTCTTTTTATTAATTTTCTCTGTAACTAGAACTGACTATATGTATTCACCGTGCATGAATAATTTATTTGAAATGAATAACTAATCATTCAATAATTCTCAAGAATCATGGAGCATCTCACATTTCTCACATTTGTGTTTATGAACTTTTTTCTAAATTGCAGTGAAAAACAAATCTGTTTATTTAAAATTTTTGCTTATGTAAATTAGAGGTTAAACTATTGTATAATAACATCCTGTGTTCTGTGTCACAAGTTTGAGAATTAAGTGCTTATTAAATATTTTACCAGACAGTTACTTACCAGTGAAAATGTGAGATACTCAGAGGTAGTCCAACAACAACAATACAAGATTTTAACTGTCTCTGTAGTTTGGATAGAGTGCCCATTGCTTAGAAAATAAATAAACTGGCTGGGCACAGTGGCTCATGCCTGTAATCCCAGCACTTTGGGGGGCCGAGGTGGGTGGATCAGTTGAGGTCAGGAATTCGAGACCAGCCTGGTCAACATGGTGAAACCCTGTTTGTACTAAAAATACAAAAATTAGCCACCACCATTACAGGTGGCGGCGGGCACCTGTAATCCCAGCTACTCAGGAGGCTGAGGCGGGAGAATCGCTTGAACCCAGTATGTGGAGGTTGCAGTGAGCCGAGATCATACCACTGCTCTCCAGCCTGGGTGAAAATGCGAGACTCCTCCAAAACAAAACAAAAGAAAAACAAAATAAAAGTTTATTAGATTTTCTATGGGAGTTGCAGTGGAATTTTCTTGAAATCACCTATTGTAATGTTTGTAGAGGAAAGTCATCTTAAAGCCTGTTGTTCCCGTTGTGAAGATCTACAACATGGCCTCTATCCACTCAGTTATAACATTGAGTTACTGAATAGTTATGCTCGCTCAGGTATTCAGTCGGGTGTCAGTTATCCTGTCTTTTGGAGACAGATGAATGGGTTCATCAGATACAAGGAAATTATAGTGTCATTCACAGCTAGGACCTATTTAGAGGTCCTAAAAATTGATGCTTTCTTATACAGCTTGGCTTTTTCTACTTATAAGCCTTAAATACTGAAAATCACAATTTTGTTTTCCATGGAAAAGCATTTGAGTATATTAAGTGTTTAAAAAGACATACCTGGGGCTATCTTCCGTGAGCCTCAGCAGGCCTTGCTGCAAGTCTTCAGAGAAGCAGGAGCTGTTTGGTTAGCCGCAGCAGTAGCAGCCCCATTGCAGGCTGCTGGCTTTACTAAAAATTTCCTTTCCTTTTTGTGTGGTTTTAAAATGTTGCATATTGACGTAGATGAAACTGTGGTTTGCAAGTAGTTTAACTTTATATGAAGTTCTCCTAAAGAAGATTTTTAAATATATACAATTTCATGTATGCTTTCTTAAGCAATTTACTTGTCATATTTTTTAGAGAAAAGATCTTCATTTGTCTGTTTTAGTACCTAGCCTTTTTTTAAAGTATCCAAGATATGTTCTGTGTCATAATGATTTCAAAGAATATCACTCTTTATGCCTTGATGGGGATTAATAATTAAAGATATAAGGTGTTTATGCAATTATTTCTTCAGTATACATAGTAACACAGCATTTCAAAGTTAAAATTGAAAAAATAGTTGCGCTGTTTAATACCTGCTGAGACACCTATTATTAAAAAAAAGTAAACAAAAATGTATTTTACAGAGTCTGCTAATGTATGTTTTATTTATGTTATTTTGTGTTCATTATAGAAAAATCTGGAAATAGAAATAAAAAAGGAACATGCAGAGAGATAATTACTGTTAATATTTTTGGTACATAAGTTTTAAATTTTTTCTATGATTATGTATTTCCACTTAAATGTTATTCCTACTATTTTGTAGTTTATAATTTTTCATTGAAGAATATATTGTATATATTTTCAATTTATGAGATTAGGCTTGTAGTTAGTATTTGTCTATTTGACTCAAACAGCTTAATGGATTGAAATAGTATTTAGTAATTAATAGATTGTGTGTAAAGGAACCCTACAGTGTGTATGTAAGTTGTTTGGTTAAATGTTCATTGTGTCTGTGGCTGAACAAGTGTTTGTTGAATGTTTGAAAGAAGGCTAGCACAGTGGGGAACCTAACAAACATATTTTCAAGAGTTTTACATTTTCTGGTTTGAAGTTGATGTGTAAATGCAAAGCCATTGCCTGGTTAGTTAGGGTCTGGTTTCTTCTAATGCTTCATTGGCTTGGTAGGTGTTTTGGTTTCTTTTAATAATACTTGGTCAGTTTTCTAGATAAGAAAAAAGAAGATACCTTTCCAGGATCTAAAATTAATCCCTTGGTATTAGTTTTTAAAAAGAAAAATCTCTCAAAAGATGAAATGAGAAGTATCTAGCTAGGGAGAATTTAGGGAAAGTCTAAGGAGACTTTTGAAAAAAATGTAAAGATGCTTATGATGATATTGGTCACATTTCAGGCATTCTGACATCCCCCCAAATTCATATAATTATTATTTTTGCCAGTGAGGACCATAAATTATAAAGTAGGAGGGAAAAAGCAAATGTTTCTCAAACATTTTATGTTAAGAACCACTGTGAACTTCATCATCATAGTGCTAGGAAAGGATCTTTCTTTTAAGATATGTATGCTTCAGTGTTGTACAGGACTCACTGAAGAACATATTTGTAGAAAAGACGTATTTGCAGACAAGTAAGTGAGAAGTGATCAGGGCTTACATTCACTGGAGGGTAGAGGGGGTGAAAGGGAGAGAATTTAGAGATGGGTGCAGTTGACTGTAAACAGTGGTAAATGATTTTACCATGGCATGGAGAAAAACTGGGATGAAAGATTTTTGACAGAGTTTCTGTTTTGCTTTTTTTTAGGTAAGTCTCTTTATATGTTTACTTCCCTGGTTCACTGTAAAGTTATAGACAAAATTGAAAAGTACAAACAATTGTACTTAAAAATCTACTCAGGCCACAGTTTCTGTGTCTGGATTGCCAAATGTGAAAGCACTAAAGTGCCCTTGTTCTCAGAGTTCTATTTAATTTTTAGAATAGTGAGAATTAATCTTTTAATGGAGAGATGAATCATATTCCTCCTCTTGAGAATGAGCTTGGGCGACCTGGCTTTGTGTGGAAGTTTATTCACAGTGGAAATATGTGTATTTTTCATTTTTTTATACGAGTTTCATTTGATTTTCTAGAAGCCACTTTTTCTATCTGTTTCATTGAGGACAAGTGTTTGTGACTGTATTTAGTGTTCCAGGAAGTTGCATGTCATCACTAACACGCACCCAAGCGGGAAGAAGTGAGGCGAAGTTATTTTTCCCTTACCTTGGTCATGGCAGTGCTGTTTGTTTAATAAATAATCTGTTCATTACTTATGAGTATTTCATGGATATTTTGTATGTGTAAAATAAAAATTAAAGGTAAGTGCTCCTCCAAGTTATTAAGAAAGAAAATATTTTCTGTAGTCTCTCCTATCCACACAAAACGTGTTTTTGATTTTATTGAACACAAATACCAAATAACAGTATTTCAGTAGAAATATTTTCTTTGAATATTTAGCGTTTTTAAAATGTGCTTTTTCAGTGTAGCATGGAAGCCATTTGGAACTAATGAAGAAGGGGAAAGCGAATGTTGGGGTCGATGGTCACTGCCACAGCCAGGCGCACAGGTCTGAGGACTTGTTTTTGTTAAAACAAACAAGCCATGAGATGCAGGAGATTCTGCCTCTTACAGATGGGGAAACTGTGGTGCAGAGAAATTAAGGCCCGCTCAAACCTGCACAGTTAGACCCTGGCATCCCAGCTCTTAATTATGCTTCTTACAATGAAAGTGTTAGGGACAGTGATTACAATGGAGGCCATCAGGTCAGTCCAGGCCCCCTTCCCATTTAGTATTTGTAACCATTTGAATTTGCATGCCATTGGGTGGTAGAACACCCAGTGTACCACAGTTCTAACCTTCCTGATGGAGTTTTCAGCCTCCGGAATGTGAATTTAGGATGCTCTTACATCAAAATAGTTTATATCTGAAAGATTTTTATGATCAGTCATTTCTGCCACAGCCTGTGCAACTCCAAATTCAGCCCTGTCTCTGCAGCCATTGTGCTTCAGGGTTATGTTTTGAAAGAAAATAATTTTTTTTTTTTTTTTTGCACATAATTCTCTTTCCCACCTGGATTAGCCCAAAGATTTTTTTCCGTGCTCCTAGATTGGTAGCTTTAAATCTGAGAGTGACTGTTGTGAATAGGCAGTGTAGTTTTAAAGTGAAATGTAGACATACGGTTTCCATGTTACTGTTTCTGTATTACTTAAATTCTGCCTTGTTTTTTTCTCTTTAGTGAAATGGAGAATACATGTTTGGAAATGATTTGAAGGCAAAGGTTGTTTTTGCACATTCTTGGAATGTGAACTCAGTTAAAAGAATGGCTGGGTACATTACCCTGTCATTTCCCCTTGACAGTCCTTTTGGTTGTCTGCCTTTTTATTGATGTTATTGCATCAACATTTCATTTTACCTTTTGGTTGTAAGGTGTGACTGCTATTTGGTCCATGGTTATAAAATAATTTATGGAGGGAAAATTCATAATAAAGAACGTTTAAAGATTATCTTGTTTCTTTTTGGTCACTGAATGTCATGCTTTTTTTCCTCATTTGATTGTTTATGGTCCATTTCTTATGAACTTATGACTAACACATTTTCAAAACACAGAACACATTTTAAAAACTCGTTAGTTACTTTCCAAGAGAATGTTCTTTGGAGAACGTCTCCCTTTTCCTAGCCATGTAATTTTTTTTTTTTTTTTTTTTTCTTTTTTAAGACAGGGTCATCTTATGTTGCCCAGGCTGCAGTGCAGTGGTTATTCAGAGGTCTAATCATAGCCTGTTACAGTCCCAAACTCCTTGGCTCAAGCAATCCTCTTGCATCAGCCTCCTGAGTAACTAGGACTACAGGTGCACACCACTGCACCCAGCCATGTGAATATTTCTTGATCAAGTATTTATGAAAAATTATAACAGCAAGTATTTATTGATTGCAGGCTGCCTCCTGAGCTCTTATCCTGGAGAATATTTTATGCTTTGTAAAGGAGTGATAAGGAATCTTATCACCTGCTATGTGCTGTTAGAACCTGTGGGAATCCGGGAAGTGTAGTGCTCCAGACTGTGGTAGGGTGAACGGGAGCTTCTTCAGAATGAGCTACAAGGTGGCATGCTTGAGGGATGACACAGATAATTGGAGTATGAGAAATTTTTTGGGGGGACTGTCAGGCAATTTAGGGGCTTAGGTGTCTCCGTGAGGAAAAGATTGAGACAAAATCTTGGATGCTTCCTGGGATTTTAATAAAGTAAACATTGGAGAGCTCATGGCTATACAAGGGAAGGAGCTGTCAATTCAGCAATGTTAGGTAAATCTGCCAGCATTGGAGTTTGCTTGGTTAGGAGAGAAAGTGGAAGATGAGAAACCAGTTAAGGAATGATTGCAGTCATTTTAAGTGAGAAGCAATAAGGATCTGAAATTACATGGGAAGGGAGGAATAGCTGAGAACCACTGCAGAAGTAAAATCACTGCAGTGGAGGGTAGAGAGGGAGAAGAGGAGACTGAAGTTTTAGTCCTGGGAAAGGAAGTCTGAGGAGAGAGGCAGACTGGTCATGTAGAAAGGTGAATTTGGTTTATTGGCTTACAGAGTTTCTATTTGATATAACTTAGATTTTTATTTTATTCTTTTTCATTTAAGTTTTAAATGTTTCTCAGAGCTTTATCTGTCATTAACCAAAACATTCTAAATGTACTTTGTAAACACTTAAGGAGCTCTTATTTTGAATGGTATTGATGTTGGTTTTCTTACTTAAAATAAGACAATTTTTCTTATTTTTCACCTACTTTCATACTATTAGATAAGAACTACACTTGGCCATGACAATTTTTTTTAATGGTTGCATGTTTTTCTTAACAAGAAAGTGAATTTGATGTGGAGTTGAAATTGGCTTTTATAAGGATTACGTTCTCATGCAGGCAATATGATAGCACAGAGAGCTGGTATTCCTTTAGAAAGATAATGGTTGCAAGTACAACATAACAGCTTGGAAAAACCTGCAAGTTAAATATAGAGACTCTTTTAGCTTAGAAAATAGAACATTGAGGCCGGGCGCTCACGCCTGTCATCTCAGCACTTTGGGAGACCGAGGTGGATGGATCACCGGAGGTCAGGAGTTTGAGACCAACCTGACAAACATGGTGAAACCCCATCTTTACTAAAAACACAAAAATTAGCCAGGCATGGTGGTGAGTACATGTAATCTCAGCTACTCGAGAGGCTGAGGCAGGAGAATTGAACCCTGTGGTGGAGGTTGCAGTGAGCTGAGATCACGCCACTGCACTCCAGCTTGGGGAACAAGAGCGAGACTCTATCTCAAGAAAAGAAAATAGAAAATCA